CAGTTAAAAGGTAATGTTTGAAGGAGAAATTGTGTGAAATTCTCGAAGTATGAATTAAAACTCGCTATTGGTGGGTTCAAAAACAAGGAGACAACTTATGGGAAACGTCTAAAAAACTAGAAATTAGAAAACTACTTTCACGCAACCATTTCCTGTGTGGTAAGAACGTGGTTTCTTGGATGTCGTCGAGGTCAGCTTCCTATGCCTGATAATCTGTGACACGGTTGGCGCCTCGGGAAATCCAACTGTTACGCCAATCGCGTATTTAAAAAAGACGACTGAACATCTGGATCATCAGCCTTGGTTTCCACTATACTAAACCACACATTTAGCCGGTCTCCGAGGTTAAATTTCCATTTCATCAAGGTTTGGGATGTATGGTTTTTCTACTGGATTTTGGTTCCCATCCGCGAATGATACGACTGATCTATTGAAAACGGAATTGTAGAAGAAACCGGCGTAGCCTCTCTTCATGAATTTGGTCCCTTCATAAACTATTTAATAATGGTGTATGTAGCATAAACAAGTTTCTACGTAATGATTCTTGATTACTTTGAGCAATAATAGGCATAAGGTTGTGATTTTTGCCCACTAAACACAGAACAATTTCCTACGATGGGATACCCACCATCAGTTGATGTATCACTCAAAAAAATAACTGATCACCTGGCTCTTTTACCAACCGAATTCTGCAGCATGAAAGACCCGAACTGTGATATCGCGATACAGTTTACACACCGAAAATTAACTCCGGACCACCGTGAGGTGAATGATAAATAGTTCACAAACGAAAAACCGGTGGCCAACTTATCTAAACTGTCGGAACGTGTCTTGACTCCACACATGTATCTGGAATGACTCATTCAACCGCCTAGTCCATGCGAAGACGACCTATTTAGTCACGGGCGTCATGTGCACCAATGTATTTGAGCCAAAGAATTCACATGCTTTGGGCCGAATACGTTCATTTATTTATAAACCGGATGTGTGAGAATTCTAGCACTGGATTTTAACTTCACAGAAAGCCGGAAGGTTGAAGAGAAAGCGAACGTTAGTTTCCCTAGCACACTATTCTTGCTGGATAGAAAATCTCAAGCAGACAGTGAGTAAGACAAAACAAAAATTGAAAAGATTGTCCACTTGGGAAACAAAGCTCCAAACCAAATTCAGGTTGTGGAAAATCACGTGTATGATAGGAGCATGGGAAAAAATATCGAATTTTGTTGCCTTGTTCTGAATGGACTCGCTCAATTGTTCTCGGGAGAAACAATGTACACACAGTCGGCAGATCTTTCGAAAGGATCCGTAAATATCCATCGACGTGACTGAAAACCAGGCCACTCGTTCATGCCAGTGGTTCCACATCTAGTTAAAGCAAATCACATGATGAACAGAGGAACAGAAATTCCGTCCACTATCAAGGCCGGGATTAACTTGGGATGCTAAACAGGAGCAAGGAATCCAGCTTCCAAGCCTCATTACTGGGATCCAAAAAAATATATTTTCGCATTGCCGTAGAATATATATATATATATATATATATATATATAGCGAGAGAGAGATAGAGTTTATCAATAGCGCTTTCGAATCTCCGCAGAATGGCAAGCTCTGTGATTATAGTTGATTTCTCAAACTAGAACAAGATGAAAATTTCTCGAGATAAAATGAGGTCTGCTTTCCTCTCTCTCTCTCTCTCAATGAAAGTAGTAAGCCTGATCAAATTAGTGTATTTGAAAATGTGTTCCGTAAAGCTGGCTGAACATAAATCGAACGCGAACGGGAATACACAACTCAAAGCGTCGAAAAGAGAAAGACAATTGTTAAAGAAAAGTTTTAGCATGTGTCGAGTTTTAGTTTCTAGCCTAAGCATCAGCCCGGCCAATACACGATTGGTGCTCGAGAGCAGTAATTTTCGCAGACTATCATTGACATCCCAGATAAGGTGCAGGACCAAAAAAACTGATCTCGATGATCAGATGCTTTTTGCGGATGTGAAGGAGGCATCTCCGGTTCTTTCTATGCTCCATCTGAACTGTCGGTTTGATTGACCCACATTCAATGTGGATGTTTTCGTCAGGCGGTAGTACTGTGACCCCAGTTAGACCCACTCCTTAGAACGTGATTGGACCGATGCACAGGGAAATAGAGAGATACAACTTACCGAAACACGTGACCCAACTGATTCGTATTCAGGTCCCATAACCGCAGTGTACAATCGTACGAGCCACTGATTACTTTTTCATGATCGGCCTGGAAACGGACAAGAAAATGAAACTGTCACGTTGCTTTTGTACCTGTAAAGCGTTGAGCGATGATGAGCCATTCACCGCTGTATGCAGACATCTTTTCTCAAGAGTAATCCTCGGCTCACTTAGTTTATCTGTACATGCAGGCCTACAGTGTACACTGATGACAGTAGCTAGACTTGTGCAACTTCAATCAATCAAAAATTCACACCCAACAGGCGAGAATGACATTTTACTGAAACAACAAATACAGTGATTCGCTCTGATTAACTGGGGTTTTACTGTATCGATAGGCACTGCCGAAAACCCTATTCAGGGGAGTTGGTTAAATAGCCAGTGTCAGGTTTCATGGTTGAGGAACCCGGGATCAATTAAATCGAATTTTTTGGGGGGTGAGAAAAAAGGGAAAGCCTGTAACTATACAGACTATGGTATTATGTGGATTCGAGAACACTCACGGAAATGACAGCTCTTGAACAGAGAAAGGTGTGAAGAAAAAGGAGAACCTGACTACTAAAGAGCTTTCCATCATTCCACGATTCTTGGAAGAAGAAAATTAGAGAATTCGGAACGCCGCCGTCCCACGAGTTTTTAGTGACACGGATAGCTGAACGCTTGTGATCGGGTCGCACAAGCACATTGAAAAGGAAGAAGGAACCCAGTTGGCAAGCTCTGTAGACCGAAATGCACAGTAATAGCAGTAGCAGAGACAAGGAGGAGGAGGTCGGCCAACGATGGCGAAGTGGTTGAAGAATGTATGTTGGGTTTCGCCAGGAGCACTTCGTGCCAAAATCCGTCGAACACCTACCCGGCGGTTAAAAGCGGACGTACACATGTGACTTTTATGCCGACAAGTTGGTAGTTGACAGAGATGTGGTAGCGTAAGTCGAATTGGTGGACGTTGACAAGTTCGCGGTTCCAAATGCAACAGTAAAGTTGGTTAGTAATAGGTTGTTCTATGATCGTCGAGAGGGACGAGGTGATGGGGATTGTACGGTAAGTGTAAGAATCACAGAATGCATTTTGTACGGGGATGGGAAGGACGTGAACAGTTTTCTAACCGCTGGGAAACACGCCGTTTGAAAGTGATTGCGAGGTATGGGGTAAAGTATAATGCACAATTCTCAAGCACGATTTAGTCCAAGTCAAGTCAAGAAATGCTTCATGCTTTATATAGGATGCCATCTGGGTCGAGTGACATCGAAGAATCTGGCGAATACCGTGCTAAAAGGATAATCCTGGTCGTGGTTTGGGACAAAATGTAAGGCACTGATGACTAGGATATGAGGGAAGTGTTAGACGGGTATATAGTAAAACTAGAAGCAAACATGGGGGCTTATAGCTCAACTTTTTGTGGCAGACTAGATCACCAGAAGTGTCGCAAGTTGGGAACAAATGCAAGGGATAGGAGAGGAATTACCAGAAACTGCAGCGGCTTAAACGAGCGGTTACCAGAACCGTAGTTGGCTTTACAAAAAACAAATTTAGTTTTGGCTTTGTAAATAAACGCCCAGTATTCGTTCCGGGCTTGCATGCAGCAACGGTTAGCAGAGGGATCGGGGTAAAAATACCGACGTGGGAAGGCTTTCTTTTTTGTTTTGACTTAGAGAGAACAAGCAGTAAGAAACCATTTAAGCTGACTGTTATTTCCTCGGTTTAGAATAAAGAGAATAAACAGTTCTATCACTTGGCGAATAGTCTCCACAACCATCACGACTGGAGAGAATGAGATGGGAGAAAGAGCACAATCGCGTCAAGGATAGGATGCCAAGTCATCGTACCCACTCCAATTGGAAGGCCTTTAACGCCAGAATGTATGACAAGAAGGACGACAGAGAGAGAGTGTGGAAATTTAAGGTGATAAGACAACTGTCCAATGAGCCAAATGAGGAAGATAGTGAGAAACGAGAGAAGAGAGCGACTGGAAGTTATAAGAAGTGGTGGCAGCCTGGTTTTCCACTGGCAGTGCTAATGATCATTTTATAGTATATTAAAAGTAGACGGTGATATCTGATATCTGGGGTAAACTTACTTGAAGACATCGTACAGTATCCGTATGACCGTGTAACGTACGAATGCAAGCAATACGGGACCAATTGGTGTTCGAGGACAGGCGCCAAAGTTTAATGGTTGTGTCTGTACTGCCCGAGATCAGGAGTGCTTCCGGCGGTTGCCTGTCATCCGTCATCGGACTGTCTCCGTCCCGACAGGATATCGTGCGGCCACCAATATCACTGGACGGACTGTGGCAAGTTGAGGATGTTGATGATGAGGAGGAGGAGGACGAGGAGGCCGCAGGTGAGGACGGGGCCAATGGGAGTAATTGTAAACAACGAACTGCGTCCGAATGCCCCCGAAGGGTTTGTACAGACCATGTAGCATTTGTGCGCACATTCCACACTCGAATTGTGGCATCCGCGGAACCACTGACGATCCGATGAGAATCACAGGCGACACAGTAAACAGCTTTTGGGTAAAAGAGTTAACAGAAGAGATGGAGTTTGTAAGTGAGTAAAATAAATTATTATGACTAGTCAATTGTCGGAAGAAGACAGGCCCGAATGATTTACATCCAGTCCTCTTCAAATTGGGTGCTGCTTCCCCAGCTGGGGCAATCACCTCCAGTGTAATTGAATCCCTTAACACTTCTACTATTCCCCCCCCCCAATCTTCGATCCTCTCCAAACGGTTAGCTTGGCTGTTCAACTATTTTACTGCGTACAAACCACTAGATTAGGGAAGTCCTCATCTAAACCTTAAGTCAACAACTTCCGGGCTCTTTAAAAAGCGGTGCTATACCCATACTTATTTGCCACGTATATTTGTGATATGCCTGGTGTTTCTTCTGCACGAATTTTGAAATATGCAGATAACGTCGTGCCGTGCCAACCTAGGATTTGTCCCCCAGTTACTTTTCTTATGCCGCGGTCTAACTATAATAAGCCGTGTCTCTTTTGTTCCTGTTCCCGTTCCAGAGTATCACACAGTTTCATGTGTGAAATTTGCGGAGGATTCCCATAGATCCTGAGCACCCGTTACACGCACAACTGACACGCCGTTCCCATCATTCCAAAAGCCCCCAATCCCGACAAATGTTATCTCGACTTAACGCCTACCGCAATCCATTTATAACGTCTCTTGCTCGTTTACTCACAAAGAAAAAGCAGATAATAAGTGAACTTTACCTTAACTTTGGATTATGAAATGTTAAAATTTCCTCCCAGTTTATTATGTATATTGTGACGGTTGGCATGTATGATTCTTTAACTGAAATGGGAGCTCCAGTGCTTGCAAAAGTTATGCACAATATAATACAATACAATACAAAGATTTTGTTGCAAACCATGAGGAATGCGTTAGCACTAAAGTTCACCCATGCCCTCATAATGGGTGACTTTAACTGCCCCAATCTCATAAGATCGCTCAGGTGTTTACTGCAACGACACACGAAGCATTACAGATTCCAAACAAACTACCCTATATACCGTATCCGTTACTGCATTATATGGCTTTCGACAGTGAGAAAGTTAGAACAAAACTATTAACTTTGCGTAAGAATTCATCCCCAGGCGCGGACAACATGCATCCCCGGACTTTGATGTCGCTAGTCAATAACATTTCCAAACCTCTGGCTGTTCTTTACCAAAGGATGTTCAACGAGGCAGTAATTCCGCAGTCATGGAAGGAAGGGGTGATTTCTCCCATTTACAAAGGGGGATCTCGCAGTGATCCAGCTAACTACCGCCCTGTTACACTTCTTCCGATATTGCCGAAAGTCATGGAGGCTATTGTGGCAGATTTGTTGATGAAATATCTGGAGAAGCATGACCTTTAATCTCCAACCCAGCACGGATTTCGGCACAAGCGTTCGTGCACCACAAACCTGATCCTTGTACGGGATGAGTGGACAAAATCCGTCGATGCAGGCCAGCCATTGGATATGGTTTAT